GGGCATGCAGGTCGCTGAACGTGCGTCCCTGGGGCGTGTCTACGACCGCCCGCGATTCCACGTAGCCCGCAAACAAGGAGCGTAACTCGGTGGCGGAGAGAGCCGGCGCTATCGTGCAGGGCGGGGCCAGAGCCATTCTCATGACGGCAAGCTCACTGGCTCCATCCTGGGTGCGCGCCCCATATTTCTGCATGTGCCACAGAGCGCAGGAGAAGGGGGCCGACGGATCAGCGTGGGCAAAGAGATATGGTGTGTCCTTCGATGGCTCTCTTGTGCCGCTCTGTTTGGCCGTGCGTTGCCTCCCGCCTCCTGAGTCCCGTTCCAAACGACCCAGGACTGGCCCCCCGACAAGGGTCGGCATCTACCTGGGCTGTGTTCATCATGCGGGGGGACGAGTTGGACCCGATCATTATTGCATGCCGCTTGACCAGATGGGCGGACTCGACTTCAAGACCGGCATGAAGACAGGCGGGCGGAGGCCAGTCGTGGAGAGGTCGGAACAGATTTGGATTGACATGGGCGTTGAAGCGGCGGTCGAAACGAGGCAAGACGGGGTTGCTGACAACATGCCTCTGGGAGCTGCTGTTCATTTCAACGGCGAGGGTTCCGCCGCTGCCTCCAAGAAGGAGTGTGATAGACTGCGCGAGACCAACGCGCGGGGGGAGAGCGAGGTCATGGAGTTCAGTCAAGTGCGGGAAATGATGGGGGGTGAATTGGTCGACTCTTCGCCGTTCTCGTCGAAAAGAACGCCGAGCTCCCAGATGGGCGTGAAGACGGGAAGTTCAAGGGGCGCGTTGTCTTCGGCGGATCCGACGTCGTCGATGGACCAATTCAAGTAGGTGGCGCCATATCAGGAACTCTCTTCTTGTCCCGCGACGATGCAGGGGAGTGAAGCCGCCGATGCCTTCGGGCTCTTCCCGGGGCGCGATGTTCAGCGGGCTGATGCGCGCCGGGCGCGTGCTCGGTCGGTGTTGGGAGGAACGCCCGCGTGGGTTAGGATGTTTAAGGGGGCATGGCCAGAGAACTGGGCAGGTGTGCGCGATCCAGTGTGTCCTCTGCGATTAGCGTTGTGCGGCCATCCTGCGAACCTCGACAGTTGCTGTACATTGGCGATGCAGGGATCGAGGCCTTCCTCGACCTCATGACGTGTGAACTGCAGGCCGAGTGGCCCCAAGTAGCCTCCAATATCATTGTTTTTTTAAGAAAGCGCCTCGGCGGGCTACGCCCGATTGCCCTAATCGCCCTCGTCGCCCGCGTGCATTCTCGCCTCAGACCTTCTGTCCTTGCTTCCTGGCAGAAGGCGAGTGGTCGTGCTTTCTTTTGGGCCTCCAAAGGCAAAGCTTGCCATCGCGCTGTCTGGAGTGGGTGGGCCTCCGTCCAGGGTGAGCGCAGCCGGGCTCCGAAAGCCTGGGCGCCCGCGTTTGTCTTCTTAGATATGTTCAACGCTTTCGAAACCATCAGGCACGAGCGGCTTCTCGACGCCGCGATTTTTTTGGCTTCCCGCTTTGGCAGCTAAAACTTGGCATTCAGCTGCGCAGAGCCCCGGGGTACCTAATGTTGCAGAGCGTTGTGTCCCGCCCTGTGAGCGCGCTTCAGGCGGCGCTCCCCGGGCGCGGCCCTTCCGCCACCCTCGTCCGCCTCATCCTCCTGGAGCCCGTGGATGATATGATCAAGCTGTTCCCGTGTGTCCAGGCCGAAGTAGATGTCGGCGATCTCACCCCCCAGAGGCAGGGCGAGAAAGGTCGCGTCGTGCACGGCCTCGTTCAGTCGTCTAGCGCCCTTGCTGATGGTTCGGTTGTGCAGTGCCTGTCTGTCCCTCGCAAGAAAACAGCTTCCTTGCCTGCCTCCCTGGGGTCCGCCTGAGCGTCCTGGAGGGGGTCCGTCAAACGCTCGGGGGGGGGGGCGCTGAGCGCAACCTCGGGGTAGATTTTTCCTCGGGGCGGCGTGTTTCCTCTCTTGTCCGCGGTGGCCGTGTCAAGCCCGTGCGTGCGAGGGCCTCCAGGGTCCGGAAATTCCATGTCAAAGGCGCGCGTGCTCGAGCCATTCAGAGGCTCGCGCAGGCGGGGCTGCAGGCCCGGGGTCGATTGCACTGGCCTCGCGAATCAGCAGTAGAAACCGCGCTCGCACTGTTGTGTTTCGAGCGTGCGGGCCTCTCGCCGCTGGCAAGAGCCGCGCGCTCAGCCTCGTGCTGCGGGGCCAGGGCCGGCTCGATCCCGCGTTCAGGGCCGCGGAGGCCCCAGTTGAAGCGATGGCCTCGGCCCTCTGGCAAGGACTGGCTGTCCAGGCATGCCTTTGCCTCTGCGTGCAACCGGGCTAGCCAGCGCGCCCGCTCTTGGGCGCAGGTGAAGGGGCCTGGCGGTGCGCTCGTGTTGTCTCTTGCTCGCCTCGGCTGGGCGCTGCAAGGATGTCCCGCGCATCGATCGCGCAGTGCGTGCTCGTTGATTTCCCCCAGCTGTGTTCTCGCACCAACCTCAAGTCTGCAGAGCAGGCCGTCGAAGCC